AAAAAAAAAAAAACAAAGTAAGGGAAAGGAATTAGTCTCCCTTCTAACTATCCCCCCAAAATAAACTCTTTCATAAAATAAAGTCTTTCATAAAATGAAGGCCATTGCCCCGAGATTTGGACACATTATTTCTGATGCAAAGGATCACTTACCAACACACGTGAACTTTCCCCTTTAGTCAGAGATGATTGAAATGGACCGCTAGAAATGTGGAATAATGTTCTCGTACCTCTGTTTTCAACACTCCTAGTACACTCTGGCAACCAAAAGAAACACAATAAAAAAGTTTGAAAAACACATGGTGAGGAAAGAAAGACAACTCACAAAAGCCGAAAAAAAACTCCAAGACGACGCAATGGCCTTTGAAGAGTTCCTTCGAGAAAATGACCAGCGATCTGTAGATGCTCTTAAAATGTGAGTTTCTTCACTCTGGCTGAATCCTCCCTTACCCTCCCTTCTTTTTTTTTTAGTTTTTCGGAACACACAACAAACTAACAAACCTCCATTACTTTCCAGCGCAGCACAAGAAACAATCAACAAACTCCAAATGACAGCAGAGCTAAAGAAAGCAACGATGGAGGTTCAGGCTGTGAAGAGGTAAGGCAGACACCATCTTCTCGTGCCCAAATTGCATGACCCATTAGAACCCAGTTCTGCCTGGGAAACCCCAGTAAGCCTGGGAGGTGATGATTTCGTACGTGTGAACAAATTTATAAAGTAAGGAACTTACTCATCAAAGATCGTCCCTTTTTGGATATGAGGACAGTACGTGGCCTCCGGCTGAAAAGTTTCCTTAACCTGTGAATACAAAAGTGAAAAAATTAGTTGTAAAGAAGCAAACCAATGTTAGGAATGAATAATAAATTATTTTCTATGTGCCCTTTTTTCCTTCATTAAGACAGTTTTTTTTTCCCCCCACAATATCTCTGAAATTGGGATTCATTTTATAGTCCTCCTACAATAATGATTGGTAGCATTTTCTATATTTATACTTAACACTTACTAGAACTTAGTATTGCTGTTAAAAACCAAGATCTGGAGCAGTGCCTGTAGCTCAGTGGGTAGGGCGCCAGCCACATACACAGAGGCTGGTGGGTTTGAACCTGCCCCGGGCCAGCTAAGCAACAATGACGGCTGCAACAACAACAACAAAAAAAAACAGCAGGGCATCGTGGTGGGCACCTGTAGTCCCAGCTACTTGGGAGGCTGAGGCAAGAGAATCACTTAAGCCCAAGAGTTGGAAGTTGCTGTGAGCCATGAGGCCATGGCACTCTACCCAGGGCAATAGCTTGAGACACTGTCTCAGAAAAAAGAAAAGAAACAAGAGCTGCCCAGTGTGCTATTCCCCTCTCAGGCTCTCAGGAGGATCATTTGTGCCCAGGAGTTTTAGTCCAGCCTGGGCAACATAGTGAGACCCCCATCTCTAAATTTAAAACTGAGATCTATAATGAGAAAACTTATAAGAGCAGGAGTTGGGATAAAATTGTGCTATCTGCCACTCTTTTTCAAACCTGGATGTTTCCTTCCATGGTTAAGGAAACTTGAACTAATTTTAAATATCCAGAGAAGATTCCTTGGCTGGCGCAGTGGCTCATGCCTATAATCCCAGCACTCTAGGAGGCTGAGGGCAGGCATCTGAGCTCATGAATTCAAGACCAGCCTGAGCAAGAGTGAGACCCCCATCTCTAAAAATATCCTGGTGTTGTGACAGGTGCCTGTAGTCCCCGCTACTCGGGAGGCTGAGGCAAGGGGATCACTTGAGCCCAAGAGTTTGAGGTTGCCGTGAGCTATGACATGATAGCACTCTACCGTGAGACTAAGTGAGACTCTGTCTTGAAAAATAAAGAAGCTTCCTCTGTCATTATCCTTGGACAGTAATTTCATGATGCAGGAGACACTGTATAGTCATGGTAACAGGTCATGCTAAACATGGTTTTTCTTTTTTTTAATTTATTTATATTTTTATTTTATTTATTTTGAGACAGTCTCACCATGTTCCCCTGGGTAGAACAGCATGGTGTCAGCGCTCACAGCAACCTCAAACTCTTGAGCTTCAGCGATTCTCTTGCCTCAGCCTCCCAAGTAGCTGGAACTACAGGCACCCGCCACAATATCCAGCTATCTTTTTGTTGTAGTTGTCATTATTGTTTAGCTGACCCAGGCAGGGCTCAAACTCCCCACCCTTGGTGAATGTGGCCAGTGCCATAACCACTATGTTATGGGCATGAGCTGTTATTTATATTTTAAGACACAAGGTCTCATTCTGTCACATGGGCTGGGATGCCATGGGGCAATCAGCTCACAGTAACCTCAAACTCCTGGGCTCTGGTGATTCTCCTGCCTCAGCCTCCCCAGTAACTGGGACTACAGGCCTGCACCAACATTCCCAGCTTATTTTTAAAATTTTTGTAGAGTCAGGGTCTCATCAAGGTGCCCAGGTTGTTCTCAAACTCCTTGGCTCAAGCGATCCTCTGCACCAAGGTTCCAAAGTGCTAGGATTACAGGCATGAGCCATGCACCCAGCCCAAACTACTATTTTTTCTTTTTGAGAACATAATGTTTACCTCTTCCCTGGAACTAAGTCCTAGACCTCTTATATCCTAGACTATTTTTTGGAAGGACAGCACCTTGGTTAAAATGAAGCAAATGGGGCAGGGTGTGGTGGCTCACACCTGTAATCCTAGCACTCTAGGAGGCCAAGGCAGATCCATTTCTTGCCATGAGGAGTTTGAGACCAGCCTGAGCCAGAGCAGCCTGACCCGTCTCTACTCAAAGTAGGAAATCTAGCTGGGCATAGTGGCAGGTGCCTGTAGTCCCAGTTATTCAGGAGGAAAGAGGATTGCTGAAGCCCAGGAGTTTGAGGTTGCTGTGAGCTATGGTGACACCAAGGCACTCTACCCGGGGTATCAGAGTGAAATGAAATAAAAATTTAAAAAAAATAGAATAGTAAATAAAATAATAAAATAAAATAAAAATAAACTGGATGTCTCTGAAACCAGTTGCATTGAGCAAATGGGTGTTTCAGACACATTCTGGCTACAGCAACCTCTTTTTTTTTTTTTTTTTTTTGAGACAAAGTCTCACTATGTTGCCCTTGGTAGAGTGC